ATTTACAGCCTCTGTCGGTCACACAAAGACATTTCGAAGGAAGAAAAGATTTAATTTTTCTTTTTCTCTCTCTGTCCAACCTTTTCTCGCAGCAGAGCGAAATGCTGATCAACCAGCTGAGGGAGATCACTGGCATCCAGGACCAACAGATTCTCTACAGAGCTCTGAATGTAAGAAAAAACTAATAAATCACCAGCATCCCGTTGTACAATGACACCGCTGTCTGTGCAGCTCAGTGGACTGTTTTAATCTCATCCAAAGGAATCCTCGTTAGATCTCTGACCATTTAAAACACACTGAATGTTTTTTATTTTCTTGTACTGGGACGTTGCTCCACATTACTCCGCCCTTGTTACTCAAAACTGATGTCCTGCGTCACTTTAATGTCAATGAGGCTTTTATGTTTATTGTATTTATAACTGACCCAGAGCTTTGACCATGAGTCTAACTGAGCGGTGACATGATTTATGATTTAGGTGAAACTGATTTTGCAAACGTGCTCATGGCAAATTTCAAAAACAGTTTGGAGCAGCATTATTACATCTTTTCTACATCTTTATTATGTTTGTTTATGCAGGGATGATGCACATTTATAAGTAATCGAACCAGAGTTAGCAAGCGATTAATATGCATCTGTTGAAAATGATAAATAAATTAATTTAAAAATGACAGAGCAACAAACATATGACATAAAATTATAGAAACCTTAAAAGTCCAGCAGTGTAAATCAATATTAAAGGTGCTAAAGTGAGTAGATTTTGTCCAAGAATGCAAAATATAGATGAAGAGCCAAACAACTGAGAGTCTTTGGCCACGTTATGGACTCTAATGCTCATTATAAAGAAAGCTAAATGGACCATGTTGAACATTTAAGTTAATTGGAGGATTTTGTCAAATGATTCAAGCACAAAGAGACGTTTTACAGCAATTTACGCCACATTGACCACAAAACATGATGGCATGCTTTGTTTTTTCAAAACTACAGTCCTCAAAACTGTCATTTAAACAACTTTGAAAGAAGACTCCACACAGTTACACATGAAAACTCCCTAAGAGGCCGAACTAATGGCCACCTTATAACCAGACTAATGGTGCAATGAACAGCTCGGCTCAGTGCAGAACAGACATCAGACAGACAGACAGCAGCTCAGAAGTTTAGGAGGATTACATGTTTGTGTTCTGCTGGTTTCAAACACAGAAAGATTTGGATTTATTCAACTGTTTGTGAGCGTATTCATGGATTATGTTGGCACCATTATCTATGTTTTACTTGTACTTGTGCTTCGTAGGTTTGTTCTCGTGCTGCATTGTGCGGCTCAGTCTAATAATATCCTAAACATTCGCCCTTATCTCGTCCCGTCTCTCTCTCAGGCCAGTCAGGGTGACATTGGACATGCAGTTGGCCTCCTGACAACCCAGACGGCCGAAGTTCAGGACTCTGGAGAGCCGCAGGAGCCGGGGACGTCTGGTGAGGCGGTCTGGGAGGGCTGGGAAGGTTCTCTGTGCGCGTTTTAAAAGTAACGGGCAATATCATAAAAGTGCAAGTTGGCACGAGTCTGACAGCAGAGGTCGCACCTCCTGCTAGAATTTCAAGCTCTAAAACAACCAAATTTTGAAATATTAGTACGTTGACATGGAAAGATTTTTTCTGTCTCTCTGTAGGGTCGAGATATTTACCAAAAATGTGCTTAATTGTGATATAAAACTAGAAAAGTTAGACACAAAACAGCAAAAAGGAATCCACTTGTCTCCCAAAAACATCTCATCTGTTGCACCAACAGACGCTAATTATGATAAAATAAATTCAACGTCTACCAGGTTGAAATATTAGAGTTTTTCTAAAAGAATAAAGGTCGACGTCACCATGACATCTTCATATTCTCCTGGATGATTATTCAGTGTCATGAGTCAGGACCAGAAGGAGATTAATGGATGTAAAATGAAACCGTGTGGAGGTGCTTCTAGTTTCTGAGCCACCCGAGGCCTTCAGAGTTTTGGTCTTTACTCATCACAAATAGTCATTTATTGTGGAAAACGTCCGTCCAAATGGGTCAAGATCGTTACAGGTCGTTAAATTAATGGTGCAGCAACATCTTTAGGAAAAAATAGGAATCAGGTTTCCACAAAATGAAGACGAGGAACAGCAGAGTAGCACAGAGGAGCTTTAATAACTTGACATTAACCAGGATTGTTAAACGTTGCTGCTTGTTTCTGCAGGACTTCCTAAAGACGAGCTGCAGACCGCCATCGAGCTCAGCCTGCAGGAGTCGCACAGCGCTCAGGAGGAGGAGAGAGAATTTCACAGGTACAGAAAAGAAAAAGAAATTTTTTTCCACGACGCTTTGTTTTTTTACAGAGGACTTAGTTTTTTATTTAACTTTCATTGAGAAAAACATTTAAAAACTACAATCAGCAGGTGAAAACGGTTCTTCTGTGGTTCACAAACAGCTCGGATGCCACCATTATTATTATTATTATATTTATTAGTGTTTCCAGTAGACGATTAAACAACTAAAATACATGTAAGAAAGGTTTTGTGAATGAAAGCAGCTTCATATCGTCTGAACTTTAAGTCAACCTGGCAGTCAGTCAGAGGTTTACACAAATTTTTAAAAAAAAACAGACGACTTAAAGTATTTTTCCTCTTCAGCCATTCTGACTCTGTTGGTCAGTGAATCCACCGAGACTTAATTATCTCATCGACTACTTGATTAATTGGAGTTTTTATCCTCCAAGACGATGTTGATTCTTTGAATATTCACTCAGCGGGAAAGTTTCCACTTATGCAGCCGATTAAAACTAAGACTATGTGTCCTAGTGACGTTTTTCTTCCAGCACCACCATCAGGTTGTTAAGTCCTGCACTAGTGACCTGCAGAACCACTGATATTTCCAACAGCTTTTGTGACGTGATAATCACCTCCTGTTATGTAGAATATTAGCTTTCGTCGCTGTTTTCATTCTGAAGTCTTTCACATCAGGCAGCGGCTCCAGCCGAGTCGAGCCTGGTGTTTAACGGAGCTGTCAGATCGATGCTTTCAGGACGGGTTCCTCGATGTTCTGCAGGGCTCTGGAGGCCAGCGCGGAGGAGAACGCGGCGAGAATCAAGAGGAAGAGGTGCGAGGCCCAGAGCGACATGTGCAGCCCCGCGGACTGGATCCGGCAGGACGACTGGCCCGTCGGCATCCGCAACGTAGGAAACACCTGCTGGTTCAGCGCCGTCATCCAGGTGAGACGAAGGGCTGCTCTAATGCACAAATACGTCGTAAACTACCAAGAAAACGGAACATTGTGGTCCATTTTGGTTCTCTAAGGCAGACGGAAACACGTCAAGAGTGCTGCAACAACCTGTCATTAATAAAATTTAATTTCTATAAAACTGAAAAAGAGAAACCAACTACTCAATAAAAATAAAACCGCAATAGTTAGGAGGTGTTACATAAATGTATATACCATATGTATATATAATATAATCCATATATAATGTATATATCATATACATTTTGTATTGTATTGATCTACAACCCGCAGGGCAACAAGATTTACAATATCTTAAGCAAAAGGGCTGGAATACGTACATTATTTCAAAGTTTTTAAGTTTTAGTCAGCACCAAAATGATAATAATTGAGATTTTTTGCAAAAGCAGAATTCATTTTTAACCATTTTTGCTCATGAGGTCGTCACTTAGCCAAGAATAACAGCACTTTTTATCAATCAAATGAGCAGAAATAGCAGAAAAAATGCACAGATTCCTGTTAAATAAAGCAAAACTCATTCTGCGTGACAGCACTCTTGTTTCTTGTTTATTAGGATCCCCATTAGCACCAGCATAAGCATCGGCTATTCTTCCTGGGGTCCACACACATACACACAATGTCATTTATACACACAACAACAACAAACAAAACAAAACATAACAACTCGTCTCGTTAACTTTACAAAAAAAAGGAAGAGAAACAAATTGTCATTCAGTACACTAAACATTAAATCATATACAGAATTATAGATCCATCATTATTAATCTGGAACACATAATTCTTCATCGTAGACACATAATCAGAATGATCTTACACTCTGAGCTAACCTGCTAATTTTTTTTTTTGTTTTGATTCTTAATACACATTTCTTTTTGTCACGTCGAAAACTGAGACTACGTTGTGTTTTTAGATCTCATAAACTTTTGCAAGTGTGGGATTTTTAATATAGTTCCTTCCTGTAACGTTGCTTTAGCTTTAAACAGCTTCATGGCAGAAGGAACATCTTCCTGTTCAGCAGTAATAATAACAACACACACACCGAGCATGTATTCTGCTGAGCTCCTTCCAAGACTCCACCTGTTCTAAAAGTGTCTCGCTCAGATTTAAATAGCGCCTTCATTCTGCTTCACACTCATTTATGGACTTGGAGTTTTACCTTCATGGTCAGCTGGTCCAAATTTGCATCTTGCATTTGGTTGCACCTTTTTGAATTTCTTCTGGTACAAAACCAGCACAACATTTATCCTGACGTGTTTTTAAACTGATGGAGACGGCGGGGATCTTGCTTTTCCTTTCATCATATCATGCTTAATAAAGTCAAACATCAAAAAGGCAGAACTGCGTCTTCCTGCTAAATCGGAACGTGCATTATTCTCCTGTTCCAGGTCCGTTCCTGGGCCGGGCCTATCAGGTGGCTCGGCGGAAACCAGAGCCCCCCTGCTGAGCAGCTCGGGCTGTGAGGGTAATTAAACAGATGTGAGGATGTCTGAAAATGGACAGAGAGGAGACGGCGATTGTTTTGTCTCTGTTGAACTCAGATATGCTTCTGCATCAATTTAGAAGTCAACCCCCCGCAGCCCCGAGGTTATTATCTGGGAAGAGGGAATAGGGAAATGAGGCGGCGTTGTTGGAATACAAACGCCGCTCAGATGATGCTCTTTTGTTTGTCTTCTTTTTTTTTCCCTGCCGGTTGTCAATATTGTGAACTGAACTGATTGCTGCAGCCTCGATAAAGCCCTAAAAAGTATGGGTGCTATCAGATGTGACCGCGCGATTCAGCTGTCAGCTCGTATTCCCTCTATTATCCTCTGTGGCGCAAATTACAGTAAAGCTGAGATAAGCCGTAATTGAATTTCCGTCTCTAATGGAAATATATCAAGATATTCATAAGTGCTCAGGAGCTCCCGTCACTAACCGCACATGACACACGAGACGCGTCGGCCGGTATTAATGCGTTTAGTTTATCGCCGGCAGCACAAGTGTCTCCTAACAAAGTGGCGCTAAAATAATAAACTCTTTGCACGTGTAATTCTGTACAGCTGTGTCTCGTCCTGCTTTTTGCCCAACAACTGTGAATAAAGTTTTCAAAACCAAAATCGCTTTAGATATTTGCAAAATTTAAAAAATCTTCCAATGAAGCATATTAAAAGCTGCAGGTGGAGCCAGTAGTTGTAGTCACAAATCATCAGATTTTCTGCTTGACAATGTTTGATTTGCCTCTTTTTTTTTTGACGGATGCATATTTATAAAGACATCTGTGAAATTTAAGGTTCATATATCAAAGACTTTACGAGACAGCATGGTTTTCTGGTACAACTTGTCTTGAACGGTTATAAAAAATTAAACAAAAGCAACATTTTTAATGAAGTAAAGTGATCGTTTTGGATTCTCTTGCTTTGTGTTCAACTGGGAATAAACTTCAAGACCAGTGTCACAGATTAGAGTTACAGGTACGTGTGCTTTTACAGTCACTACTGAGGAGTTTGCCTTCAAAAATCACCTGTCAAAGTCAAAGTGGGGTCCAAAATTAAAATATATGCCCATATTAAACCTTTTTTTAAAATCTAGCTCAAGTCAAAGTCAAAGTTACTTTACTGTCAGTTCTCCTACACATGTACACAGCCAGAGGACTGAAATTTGCGTTTTTAAGCTAAACTTATAATAAGCTACAAAATATACAGTCTAAACATGTAAATGGCTAAAAAATATACAATCTAAACATATAATAGGCTAAAAAATATACAATCTGACCATATAATAAGCTAAAAATATAAGTAAACACCAAAGAGAGCAGAAGAATCTGCAGAAGGCACATATTACGTCTTTGGTTCTGAACCAGATTTGTATATAGAGAAAATAATGTGCAGTAAAAACCGTGCAAATCACTAAATGTGAAATATTTATTGACAGTGCAGTAAACTGTATGACCTTTATCCAGCAATCTTTTAGTCTTTGTGCTACAACTTGTCATACCTGCTCAATCACCTGTGAAAGTCAACAAAAAATCCTCTTTTTAAAAAAATTTGATGACCAAGTAATTCATATTATACATTATATTTTGTATTATTATGTCCTGCAGCTACACATGGTTTTGAAAATATCCCTACAGCGCCTCTGAATTGTAATTTTTTTTGTTAATGTGTGTTCAAAAATGGAACTTCTCATGACAGCGTCAGGTTTTGTCGTATTTCAACTCATTATTTGATCTACTTGTCCAATACTGCAGATTCTGAATCAATGACATGATGATAAATAATCGTAAAGATTTTATCATTTATGGTCCCTGAGATGTTGTTCAAACACAGTCTCAAATCTCATCATGCGAAAAAAAAACAAAAACGTGCTGAAATGTGTTTGATGTGACTGTTTTAAAATATCCAGTTTATTAAAAAAATAATAATTCAGTTAAAACAGAGGTGGTCGAGCAGAAGAATCCTGATGATTTTAGGTGAAATAACCCGACTTCATTATGTAATTGTTTATTTTATTGCATCCTAAATCAGTTGAGAAATCAGGGCTTCACATGCTATATATGCTAACGAGCTAAACCTCAGTGACAGGACATTAGCTGCTGCTCGGACAACATTATTCTGAGCTGATCGAGGAACATATTTGTGCACATATGTCCACGTTTCTTCTGTGATCTTTTCCAAATTGCGATAAATGGCCGCTGCGATCATGACCCGCCATCTGCTGATCTCCCACGCCCGACCCGCGCTGCAAGGTCGCATTAACGCTGCTTGTTCTCGCCGTCTTGTTGCAGTCGCTGTTCCACCTGCCGGTGTTCAGGAGGCTGGTTCTCAACTACCATCTGTCTGAGCGAGTGCTGGAGAAGTGTAAGAGCCACTCGGTGAGTCAGCGAGAACGAGGATTTGTTGTTATTTTCATTCATGCAGGTCGTGTTTTCCTAAAATTAGAGCTGAGCTACATTCACGAGCTGTGTTTGACTCTGACCTCGTGTCACCAGGACAAGAGGAACATCGCCTTCATGCAGGAGCTCCGCTGCCTGTTCGCCCTCATGTTGGGCTCCACCCGCAGGTTTGTGGATCCGTCTGCTGCCGTGGAGCTGCTGCGAGACGCCTTCAGGACCAGTGAGGCCCAGCAGGTACCTTCAGAGCGTCTGTCTGAGCAGCTTCACTCAGAACCCTCCTATAAGGCCAGTTCCTGTTTGGTAGGACCTCAGCATCATCTGCAGGCCACATTCCTGTTTCCATGAAATGTGTTGCTTGCATTATTATCATTTTTTTAACCATCTGAACCCCAAAACATACAAGCAGGTTTGAGCGGCACGTTGTCTTTAACCCTCCTGTTACCTTCAAATTTACTGACACCACAAGTTTATGTGTAAATAGCCCTTTAAATAAAACTGAAAAAATTATGTCAGTCACTTTTTTAGAGATGCTAAACATTGATGGGACCCCAATGATAATAGGAAGGTCAAACGAAAATCAGCACCATTTATCAGAGCGAGGAACTGTAGAAGAACCATTCAGGCATCACTTGAACTCAGTGGTGTGCAGTTCTTTAATATTTCAAAATTCCTTTATTTTACATGCTTCATTTACCATTTTGCCAAAAATAAACAGTTTTCTGCCAAAAATAAATAAAGAAATAAAATAAAGAAAGAAACATGAAAAATGCTGCACTCCTCAACACAACAGTGAAGCCGTCAGCGACTCAGCTGTGACCAACGGTCACGTGACTAAAATTCAGGGACTTTTCACCTGAGTGAGGCTGAGCTGCAGGCGGTGCAGATAGGAGACATGTATGGAAACCAGTTTTAAAATTAATTAGTAAAGTCTCTACAAAATGCACACTCACTG